CCCCCCCCCCAATAACAGTCACCGCCAAGGCCCCACAAACTCTGTGATGCCACTGGTTCAGTTTCTACTTTTTACAAAGCGTAATAATGCACAGCCAGAGTTCAGAAAATTTTATTGTGCCCATGAGCATGGAACTGGATCGATGAATGTATGTCACTCTGGTACACTGACATGTCAATTGTAATGCCAAAACAATGTTTGTGAAAAATGCGTGTTGCAAATCCTTTCACTCATGAAAATGGAAAATAACGAAGTGCTCACACAAATTTTATATTGACTGGTCAAAAAAAAAAGCTGTTTATAATAATGACATCATGAAATAGTTTCAGCAGATGAACAATACGCAAGGAAACATTTTTATTTTTGTGTATTCATACTTTGAATGAAGTTGATAACTTTCAGGTAGATAGGCACAATTTGCGACTACAGTATTTACATTTATCAGGTGAAAATACAGGATGATAGATATATTTTAATGTAAGAATATTTATATTTTGGAAGTTTTTGTCATATTGTTTTGAATGTAATACTGTATTAATATTTTGCATTTAGAACTTTTATTATTTATTTTATTGTTTTATTTAAAAATTATTATGCTTACCTCAGGGAGGTATCGGTATTTTTGTACCATTTGTTTCTGTATATTTCTTTTTTATCCTTTATATTTAGTTGATGATAATCATTGTAGATACCCTGTTATAGTTTGTGAGTAACTAAATAGTTAATTCAGGTATTGAGAAAAAAAATATATATATCAATGTCACTTTTAGCCTGATTGAAGTCAAAAGCATTTTAAAACTATCATGGAAATACTGATAGTATTAGTTGCGTCAATAGTTTACGTTCTATTTGGCAGTGATAACACCTAGAGACTAGTACGCTATAAAAAACTTGCATGCATAAAGGATTTTCTTTTGCATTTGGTATTATTATTATTAATTCAAAGATGTTTAAAGTCAAAGCTGAAAATACAGCGATTCTCTCGCAAGTTTACATTGTGATAAACTTGATTGCCTGTTGACGTATTTAGATGATATTACCTGGTGTGCGGGGAACAAAATTTTGTGAACTACTTAAAGTTGGAAGGTGGTGGTCAGTGGCCGGCTGAAACTTCCTGATATTTTGGTCGTAGAACTTAGTTTTCATGTATAAAACAACCAAGACATCTAGAATGTAATCAGTGTTTGCAGCCTTCATATTTTTCTTCCTAAACTTACCATATGTTGTCCGAATTTTAAAAATTGCTTCAGTAGATATGAAGTTGATGGGTTGTATGTACGAATCGCACTAGCATATCTGCGGCTGGAGGGGTCAGGGAGATGTCTGGGGTGCCAAGGTTTTTCATTGAAAGGCATGAGCTATCCACAAAATCCCTTGAGTATTAAATTTATTTCATGAGAATTGCAAGTTTGGCAGCTACCACATTATTATTATGTTGAATTATCTTATTATTTTATAGATTATTTTTAATATTTATACTTTATATAATTAATAAATGCAATAGTTTACATTCTAAAATTTAAATATTTTTGTTTGTGAAATATAATAATGTGTGATAGAATAAGTACTCTTGTTGTCATTGTGGAATGGGCTCAACTTCCTGGACTATGTGTGAATTCAATTTACAAAGAATTCATATAACACGTGTTATGTCACTAAACAAAAAAAGCCAGTAGTTAAATAAATATATTATATATGATATCTTATAGATTACATAACATCTGACAGCCTCTTGTTTTCATTTGTATCAACTTGCAAATACGTTTATTTCCAGGTGTAAGAATAGAATGGACAATACTATTACAAAATGAGTCTAGGAGACATGCAGAAACAGCTTAACACCATACATTATTCTCTTTTTGTTTTTAAATGGTTTGATCACTAGGATAGGAACAAATCAAAATGGCGTAAATTCCAAAAATCTAAATACAAATAACAATGTAATAATTCTTATCTATATGATTGGACGTTAAAATATGTTGGAATAAGACGAGTTAGGCCTTTGTATTACAGACTGCTGCTACAATTGCTTTAGGAAAAACCAATACAACACAAATACAGTACTAATATCAGTATCAATGTAGAACATGATAAATGTGTCATCAATATTATTTATCACCATTGGAATTATTTTCATTATCAACTAATTGTCATCATCATTGTACTCATCATCAATTATAATAATAATAATAATCATCATCATCTTCAACAGCATACTTGTTCATACATCCAATTCTATTTATCAGCATAATCATTTAATCTTTAATTTAACATATTCAAATCTTTTACTTGCTTTTATTAATCGACAAAATGAAAAATTAATTGGTGAAATATGGTGATCATCCTATTTTGTGGCATAAGGTGGATTTGGGATAATCGGTTTGCTTAGATACACCAACCAGACTGCTTCAATTATTAGCAGTGATCTTGGATACACCAATAAGAATACTTCTAACAATAACTTGATCTCAGATTCATCAATCAGAATGCTTCTAGTATTAGCAGCGATCTTGGATACACCAATCAGATTGCTTCTAACAATAACTGTGATCTTGGATACACTAATCAGAATGCTTTGCTTCTAGTATTAGCAGCGATCTTGGATACACCAATCGGAACAAAAACTGTTATCTTGGATACATCGGAATACTTCTTACACTAGTAGTGACCAGTAAAACCTGACCATATGAGTTGATAGTAAATGCATGTCTTCTACATTAGAAGATGAAGTACAATTGCTCAAGATGAGTTGTTGCCGGACTACAGTCCAGCTTGGCTAGGTGTGTGACTGCCACATGTAACTACAATACACAGGAACAAACCAATTGAGAAAAAAAAAATTCCTTCAAACTTTCCTTTAAACAAACAGCAAATTATAGAGCATATCTGTGCTGTTCTTTAGACACTTCCTTAGTAAAAGCACTTAGAACTAAGACCTGTAAAACAACGTATGGTAACATCCAGAGAATTTGACATCCTGAAAATCAAAATAAACTGCATCTCATAGATGCCCTGTAAAATCACAAACATTTAACACGTGGAAGCAGGAACCAAATTCCATAGAGATACATGCTATTTCTAGTTTTATTCTCTGGATTTCTCAACAGTTTTGTTCAAACAGAGTGCAACCACTTGTGTATCATTTTTAATGGGAACAATTACAACATGGGCACATTCGTGCTGATCGCCATCTGATCAGCGTGTCCCTACGATATGTTTTAGTCCTCAAATTGCTTGAGGCCATGAGCGAGAGCAGCAAACTTCTGTGGTCATACTTGGCATTTTTATCTTCCATAATATTATCTTATATTTAATGTTTTCTTCTTAAACAATTGGAATTGTTCATGAGCCACTGAGGCTGAGGGAACTGGAACTACTGGGAGGGGGCATCATAGTATGACTGTTATTGGTTGGAGTGGCTTTGCGCGAGGGTGGCATCAGGTAAGGATCTCGAGCCAGTCGTAGCACATCTATACGATTGTCTTTCTTGTATTCTAAACAACGACGAACAAAATCCTGCAAGTATAAGAAGAACAACCTCACTTATTATACTATAATCAAAATAAAAATAATCTCAGTCTTATAGGGCATGTGGTCGGTGGTGGTAATGATGTTGATAGTGCTGGTAATTACAATGACAACTATGAAACTGCCAAAGGTGACGATAAATGACAATGATGCCAAAGAATGAAAGGTAATAATACCATCTTTTAATACTTGGATATCTCGGCTAAATATGTTAACCCAGCGTTTTTACTTCACAGCCTACTTGGGATTCTAGGCTCCATGCCTCGGCCCAGCCTCGCCAGGGACCAACTTAGAAAAATCTGGTGAGACATTCTGTCTCACAAAAATTACCAAATTACAAAAACAAATCTTTTATTTTTATCTCCTGGGTGATTTCGCAGCCCTTAAAAAATATTTTGCTGCCAAAAAATGGGGTCGAGGCCCATAATGTATGGACCAACATGCTACCCAAACCCTTGGATTGCACAAATGTCTATAATCTGTTACCTAATAATAACTGAGCCACACTGACCTTAGCTTCTTGGCTAACTGGTGGTTTACTTGGAAATTGCACTACTGTGGCTTTCAGGATTGTATTCTGTTCCAAAATGGATGCTTGAGACAAATTGTGACCAAATGGCTGAAAAGAAAAGACAAAATATATATATAGGAGTAATGTTTTGCCCTACCTCTGCCCGCCAAACACAGAGATCTCTGTGTTTGGTAACGCAACACTTGACCGCCAAAAACGTAGATCTCTGTGTTTCAGGTTTTTTTTACAGAATCCGATAGATGGAATAATTACCGACATGTACTACACTCAGTCTGGACCATAAGTATTTCAATATTTGTTTGTTTAAATTGAGCGTAGCAGTATTGATATACTTTCACGTAATCACGATTATCTCAGCTTCGTTACGCAAAATTGTTTAAATCTCCAAAAGTGAGTCATTTTCATTTTACTGTTATGAGACACAGATTGTGATTAGAATAAAGTGTGTAGTACCATTGTAAAGCTAAGATGTTTGTAGTTCTTGTAGTATTCATTACATGTCAATCTGACCACTTACACACTCTCAACAAGCTTCGGAAAAGTGTTAAAATTTGCTAAAAAGTCTGGTGGTGGCTGATACTATTGTTTCAAACCCCTGGCGGTCAGAGTGTTAAGAAGTACAATAATTCTTTAATGTAAACTACAGGCTATATTAGGACTATGTATCTTTGGTGCAAGTCCTCTAGGCCTATGTATTTTAACCATGTAATTCAGCAAATGCACTGCAAATTGGTTTTACTCTTCTCCATAGTGTATAAAACTAACCTTTTTGCCATAAAGACATTGATAGAAAATTACGCCAATGGACCATACATCTACTTTGGATGATATTTTCGGTGGTCCTTTCCCAACAACAAAACATTCTGGTGGCAAATACCTGCAGCAAAGAATATCAGAAAAAAATTTATATCATAATTACACGGTGCTTTTCCCATTTACTTATTCCCCGACCACATCATTAGCCTTGTCAGCTGTTTCAACTTTAGACAGTACTGCTGTGTCTATGGTTGTTGGAGTCTAATAATGCTGTCTTTATTGTACAGTAAAAAATATATACCAATATTAGGAGTTCTTAGAATTATAGTTAATAAATATGACAATATAATCTGTGTCTTGTTTCTTGACTTCTTACCAATATGTTCCAGCACCCTGTGATGTAAGGTCCATCCCACCTTCATTGTGGTCAAAGTTTTCTTCATCCATAATTTTTGAGAGACCAAAGTCTGTTATTTTAATTTCCCCGCTTGTTGTTCCGGAACTTAATAAAATGTTACCTTCAAAAAAACATTTATTAATATTATCCTAAGCATTAACAATTATTATCAGCGTCATTTTAATTATCATCCTTATAGGGAAAGTAACAAGTTTTTGTCTGTACTAATACAACTTGAATCTGGTTCTGCATAAGTTTAAGTATCATGCTTATACTAATTATTATCATTACATTTGAATAACTATCAAATTAAAATTATCACAACCTACTGATGTCAGAATTACGAATAAACTATAAATTGGTTATAACATAATGTATATATATATCCTAAGCATTAACAATTATTATCAGCGTCATTTTAATTATCATCCTTATAGGGAAAGTAACAAGTTTTTGTCTGTACTAATACAACTTGAATCTGGTTCTGCATAAGTTTAAGTATCATGCTTATACTAATTATTATCATTACATTTGAATAACTATCAAATTAAAATTATCACAACCTACTGATGTCAGAATTACGAATAAACTATAAATTGGTTATAACATATAATATACATTATAACTATTTTCCTCATTCATATATGCATAGTTCTTACCTGGTTTCAGATCATAATGTATAATAGGAGGCTTGCGCTCATTGAGGTACTGCAGCGCCCTCACAGTTTGTATCATGATTGACCTTGCTTCTTTCTCTGGAATCAGTTTTGTTTGTTTCAAGTAGAAATCAAGATCTTTACCATCGCAATATTCTAAGACTGTACAAAATCTAGAAAATATAAATAATTAGTAATTTTGTTTACATCAAGGCAACTGATACTGTACTTTAATCTCAACAGGGTGACACCATGATCGGGCTGTGATTAAAATTGTCTCTTAGCATTTTAAAGTGTGGATATGCGAAGCAAGTCTGGACTCTGGGCAAATGAAGTGTAGAATAAAAAAAGTGTCATTAGGTAATTACTCTAAAGCAATACTCACGAGTTACTATCTATTTCAAAGACGTCAAACAGTTTCACAATTCTATTATGGTCTAAACTCTTGTGAATTTCATATTCCCTTAAGGCATGTCTGTAGACAAAAAAAGATAACAAAAAGTCAGTAATTTGGCAATCTGCTTGTAAGCTATGTCAGATTGTGAACTTGTATTTTAACCTGTAACATATACAGATGAAAGCTTTATTTTTGTGGTTGAAGATGCAAACAAGGTAAAACCAGGGAAGACAATAAGAAAGGCATAAATGGAGATGAAAAAGAAATATATTACCATGAGAGAAATGAACATCATAAAGAAAATATATCATATTATTTATTAAAATAAAAAAAAAGAATAAACAGACATGTGTGAGAAATGTATGAGCATGAGGAGAAATGACTATGAGTACTGTAAGAGATGAAAAAGAAATAAATTACCATGAGAGAAATGAACAGACATCAGAAAGAAAATGGACATGAAAGAGAAATGAATCCACACTGGGAGAAATGACTGAGTGAGAGATGAAAAAGAATAAAACTCTCACAGAAAGAAAATAGACATGAGAGAGAAATGTATGGACATGAGGAGGAATGACTAGGAGCGAGATATGAAAAAGAAATAAATTACCATGAGAGAAATGAACAGACATCAGAAAGAAAATGGACATGAGAGAGAAATGTATGGACATGAGGAGGAATGACTAGGAGCGAGAGATGAAAAAGGAATAAATTACTATGAGAGAAATGAGCAAACAGAAAGAAAGAAAATGGACATGATAAAGAAATGCATGGACATGAGGAGAAATGACTATAAGTGAGAGATGAAAAGGAATAAATAACCATGAGAGAAATGAACAAACATCAGAAAGAAAATGGACATGATAAAGAAATGTATGGACATGAGGAGAAATGACTATAGCCTCAATCGCACTGGATTAAATTTTGGGAATATGTAAACCGTCATCACGGTAAACATTTCTAGGGTAAATGTTACCGTCAATCGCACTTGGACTTTTCAACTCGGTTAGTTTTCCCGAGTAGTGTAAAATTAACTATTGAGGGCGGTACATTTTGACCCGTAACATGACCCATACTGATCTGTTTCTGTTCCTTTGACTGACTAGGCCAACATCATGAGAGCCTAGAATTTCTCCTCCCAATATTTCAGGCCTAGCGAGGCCTAAAAAATCAAGAAAAATGTCATTCCATGCCATACTACTATTTAAGGGAAAGTAACAAGTTAGAAAATAATGGTTTGTTGTCAACTAGTCGAATAATATCAATACAGCACAGTAGTATAAAATTTGTGCGAAAATCGAAATGTACATGTAGTGTCTGGACTACAAGACTAGCATACCTCGTGTGTTGTTCGGACATGTTGTTAAATCAGGACTGGTGAATGAATAAACAACGAATGGCTATTGTAGAGCTGGAATATTGTTTATTGTGTCATTTAATTG